TTCCCTTCAGACTGAAGACAGGAGAATCATTTAACAATGTAAAACATCAATCTAGAAATATTTAACAGCAAGTGTTTTGTTTGGCTGCGTTAGTAGAAACTGTTGAATGCAGATGTTACGCCTGTTTGCACTGCACCACTTTGTAGTGACAGCCACAGCTGACCCTGTGGGTACAGTCTGCTGTGGTGGCTGTCACTTAGTGTGTATCTGCCGTCACTGTCCACATGCCCAGACTGTAACACTATCTGCAAGGACTCCGAAGCTGTTAATCAACTCCTCTCTAATGTGTTGTTTACACCTCTCCCTATCTCTCTTTCTCCCTATCTCTCCGACTTGCCGTATTTCTATCTAAGACAGGGTGCTCGGATGGGCCATCGCTGTCACTAATTTGTTGTGGCAATATTAATTAATGATCAGCCTGTCACAGCTGTTTATATTGAGACAGATTAGAAGTGGGAGAGATTAGACAAAGAAAACAATCTGCGAGGGGCTCAGCGGCTGACAGGGGTCACCTTCACGTGTCTGAAATCATATTCAATTTGCCGAGGCGGAGGCAGGGAAATTACTGCTCTTGACCAGTCTGTATCCCTCTCTCTATCTGCAATGGTTCACATTAGGAGATAACTAAATCAAATTTGAACCGCAAAAAACGAAAAAGAGAATTTAGAGTCGTATTTGATCTCATCTGAAATGATGAGAAATGAAAAGACTTAGTAGTGTTTTTAATACCCACGCTGGCTTTTCCATGCTTTCTCTTCTCCATTAACCCTCATGTTCCTTCTGTTCAGCCACAAAACGCATTTCCCTTTTCAAATGGATGTTAATCCGAGGTGGCAGAGCGCGTCCTGACCACTGACCTCAGTACTGTCATTCCGAGCGGACATGCTGACTCTGAGCCTTCCCACCGCCACACACAAGTCTCAGGCTCAGTTGACTTGGCAACGACACAGTGCATTGTGGCGGCGCGGGGAGATTAAGTGGCCAATCAACGCCAGAACAGCGGTGTAATCATTCCACTTGGTAAAATGGATGTCAGGATTAGGCACTTTCTCACTTCACTGTGTTGGCTTTAATAGGGCAAAGACATTTTCCGGTAACTAAAGTGCGGCAGTTCGATTAAAGAACAGCTTCTTACTGACTGGTTAATAATCAATTCTTAAAGTTATGTTTGGAGGCCGATTAAACCATAATGCCAGGGACTATATAAACACATTGGGAGAGGATGGGAGGTCAGAAAAGGGTTGGAGTATTATATAATAAGGGTAAGCAGTCTCACTTTTTAAGATATATCACATTTGTACTTTATTTGACATTTAATAATTTTAAGATAAATAAAAAAAACAATACAATTGTAAAATGATAATATGAGGTAGCAACCCTACCTACTAGAAATACAACAACAAATATGTGTTGTAATGGAATACCACCAAAATGACTTTTGAATATATACGAAGAATGTCATTATTAATATCTTTACAGATAGTAAACATATCACTGAATGGTCACTAGTAACTACCCAAACATATGATGAAATGATATCTGCTATTAGATACTGCTATGTTATGTTTAGACATTAACTCTTAGCCAAAGAGCTTTGTAGCCTTAACATACAGACAGCTCTCACTATGGATATGAATAAGTAAAGTCAGCGTAAGGCGAGAGATCTCTGCAGAATACTTTCCCATTTGATTTCCCTGGATAAATAAAAGGTTAAATGAAGGAATACAATAAATAAAGTCCTTGCTGGAGGATAAATAGCTATGTGATGTCAAGCAGACTGTGGCCCGATGCCTCATTTCTGATATGATTGTTAAAAGTGTCTGATAGACATGTGTGTAGGAGGGATGGAGAAAGTGGAGGCTACATGACTGCAGGAGAGAGGCTGTGTGGATGATGCGCACTAGTATGCTTGTCTTGTCCCTCCTGCTTTGTTATTCCTTAGTATGTATTTGAGGCAGAATACAGCACCGTGCAGTTCCCCTGAGTTTAAATATTTCATTTGGGAGATGAATTCTGGAGCTACCAGCCTTGCTGTTCAACTCAAAGTTTGAAGGACTATGATGCTCCTAATTCTTATGTTCCACTGTGTTGAGTTAATGCAATACCTCCATATTACAGTCCTGGCTCCCACTACCTATTATTATTTCCCTCCATCAATATATTCAGGCCTTTTTCTCTGGTTTCTTACTTTCAAATTAAGAAAGTAGTACTAGGGTCGAAACAGAAAGGAAATATGAATAATTTGTCAAAGAATGACACAAAGAAAGGGTCAGGAGAGGGGTTAATGCGATATAGCGTGTGGGGCCATTAACATCTCCTCCTCCACAAAGCTTTTCTCTGCAACAGGTACAGCCAGAGGGAAGAGAGGGTGAAGAAGGTGGCACACATCGTTTGGAATACCACCATAACATTTGCATTACCCACAGGCTGCAGCTGGCAACCACCCCCACATTTACACTTCACATGTGCAGTAGTCAACCACTGCCCATGCAATCAGTGCTTGGCAGGAAGATTGGCTCGCATGCAAACATCGAAAGAGTGCTTTTGAGCTTGAGGGTTTTTAAAGTCCCATTACGCAATGGTTCAGACATGTAACCCATCGTAGCCACCAACACATGCCTGGCCACATGTGTATTTCCACATGCATGCATATTGTGCGCTTTTTCTCCTTTACCAATACAAAATAAAACGCCTCTCCAGCCTGGCAGACGGCACGGCTGACTTTCAAGAAATTCCACAAGCGAGTGCTTTCTGGAACTAAACGTGTGCAGCAAATCCTCTTAAAATCCTTTTAGATACCGTGGCAGCAGGGAGAAAACGAAAAAGTTTCTCCAAGGCAAACGTGCAGGTTTGTTGGGTTGATGTCGCGCTCTGGGGAAGGACATTCTCGCCAGTTTATTTCTTCAAGGCTGGAGAGGAATGTTAATACGACACATACCCTACAGGATGCGCAGAAGCACAATATGATGGCGTGTGAGTTGACACAAGGCTTAAAGGAGAGACAAACGACACTTTGGATGTGTGCGGCTTCAACTAACCATTCGAGAATGTGGGGTTGTACACATTTCTTTGTTATATTAGGACACAATAGGAACCATGTCAGTGTTTCCCACAGATTTGAAATATACTTGGGGGGGTGGTAGTAGCGGGGGGGGTGGGGTGGGGGGGGGGGGGGGGGGGGGGGGGGGGGGGGGGGGGTGATGTGCAACAACATTAACATTAACCTTTCTGTTGGTCGCTTGTTAGCAGACCCTTCACGCGATGGCAGAGCAAACAGGTACAGGCAGGGCCCATAGTGATAGCCCTATAGTTGAAATCTACTACCCACAAATTAACATATGGACATGGGTTACTATTTAAAAAAAAAAGAAAGGTAAATGTATTTAGGAACCTATCAATGGGATTTTAAGTGGGGGTGGACCTCAAATCCTCTAGGGGGGTCCGGGGGCATGCTCCCCCGGTAAGATTTATTTTTAAATGTTGGAGTTAAATGCATCAATCTGGTGCATTTTGAGGGGACAATAAAGAGACTAGATATATGGGAACACCTATATGAGACGGAACTGTATACATTTCAATAATCATAAAATCATGGCCATAACCAATAACATATCCAATATGAAAAAACCCTGACACCCTCAAATGGAAATATGTGTTTACATAAATGGTGACCAAACCGTTTGAGACCCACTGAGAACTTAGACTAAGTTAACTATCTAAACACTCAAAGTCCTTTACCTCACCTGAGCTGAGGTTATCCCGAGCTTGAATGACACACAGAGACCAATCAAGGGCTTTGATTTATGATCTGTATGACAGTGGCCATGTCGGCAGGCCACATCATGTAGACAGCCAGTCACCCTGTGTGAGGCAGGCCACTTAACAGGCCAGGCCATCGGGAAACCTCCCGGTCCTCCCGATGGCCAGTCCGGGACTGGGTACAGGAGGCGTAGAGCGAGGAATCATTGTCCACAAGTTAATCGATCGCAGATGGCGTCGTGGTCACGGACGAATAATACAAAAAAAAAAACGAAATGGGTCGCAAAATATACTTGGGCGGCCGTTAATATACCTGGGCAGCCCGCCCAAGTATAGTCTGTGTGTGGGAAACCCTGCATGTACAGTTTCATGTTGAGCTTCCAAAATGCCAGAGACCTGTAAATCATGGATTTGAGGTTCTACTCTATGCAAACAATAGTAAACATCTAAAACCAGTGTGACTATCTACTCAGCAGTTTTTCTTCAGCTGAAATTAAGTTTGAAATGGCTGTCAACAAGAGCCAGCATATCCAGCCTCTATGTCTTTAGGCTCTCCAATTTCATCAAGTTTCTCAAAACTAGTTTCCTGGCTCTGATTGCTATTTACATATTTGGGTAAATGAGCATGGGATTGGGCTCGGTGGTTTGTTTGACGATTTGCTCTTTGCTTTTCTATCTCCTTTGGGCAACAGATTGGATTAATGTTTGTAGACACTGTGATGCCACACATGAGGAAACAGGAGATCTTGCAAAATTACAAAACTCTCCCAATTACAGCTCTACAAACACATACAAACTAGGGGGAAAGCTCATTTGGGTGGCGATGCAGATGTTTCTTGTGTCAGAGGCACAAGGACAATAATGAGCTTCATTTACATGCTTTTCTATTTTAATAGACCAACAAACAGATCATGTTTACTCAAGACCCGGGCGTTGCAGAACACACTAAGAAAAAAATGAACCTAAACACACATGCATTGTGACCTGTAATATAATATATGCTCTATCTTTTGAGGCACATGCCAGCTTGCTTACATAGATCTTTATCCTCTCTGCCACCATTTCTCCTTCCATCCCCACTCTTTTAAGCTCTTATTTCCTTTCCTCCTTAATTACTTGTTAGAAGGTGTTTGGCTTTTCGCTGCACGCCTGCTGTTTTGGTCATTACAGGCCCCTGTAGGAAGTAAAGTAGCTGCCAGAGAAGCTTAGCATAAAACAGGCGCTGAGGTGTCTGTACTCACCTGGGGTAAATGAGGGCAGCTCTTTCTGCTGGCTTTGAGGCCTGTCGTCCCCTCAGGGGCCGTCCTGATGTTGAAGAGGGCCTGAAGAGCACACTGGGCCGCCTGGGTCTTGGCCATCTTCTTGCTGCGCCCACAGCCCTCGAAAATCCGCCCATCCACACGCACAGCCATCACAAAGCTACGCAGCCGCTTGCCTTCGGCCCGCTCAGAGAGGCAGGCGTAGCGCAGGCCCGGCCGGAGCTCGTTGAGCATGGCTACGGGGCTCTTAGGAGCCTCTTGCTCTGGAACAATCCCACCAAGCCTCTGCTGAGCCTGCACCATCAGGTCCAAGGTGTGTCGGAGCAACCGTCCATGTCTCAGTAGCTCACTTGATAGAAGCTCGCTCTCTGCTGCCGAGTTGCAGAACGAGAGGCCGTCGGAGCACGCAGAAGACTCAAATTCCTTGAAGAGTGTCTCAGGGAAGTCTGCCTGATCTGAGGTGAAGTCAGCCGAAGGGTTTGAAATGTTTCCCATGGCCAGGTGGGCCTGAGGAGCGTTAGGAAACTGGATGAAGGACTTGAGGGCCAGCTCTGCAGCCCTCATCTTAGCTTTCTTCTTTGTGGGGCCCGTGCCTTCGAAAGTCAGCCCGTTCACCTCCACAGCGATGGAGAAGACGGGAGCATGGACCGGGCCGGTCTGAGACACCATGCGGTACTGTAGGCCCGGCTTCAGCTCATTGAGCTGCACCAAAGCATTTTTCGGTGCTTCAGACCAGGAAAGTTTCTTGTAGATGAGGCGGAGTTGACACAAGTGTCCGTTGTTGTCCTCCTCCAGCGGCCGTTTCCTCTTCAGACCGGAGCTCCCACTTCTCGCTGAGTCGGAGCAGAAAATGGACTGGCACTCTGCCGATCCTATGGAGCGATCCTCCAGGTTACCAATATTGCGGTTCTCCTTCACCTCGGCACTGCTGGTACCTGCAGTCAAATGAGAAAATGTAACAAGTGATACCAAATAGAGAGAGAGAGAGAATTCATAACTGTGTGACACACATTTATCCTGGCTGAACAATATGAATCAAGGAAAATCTCCCGGGCAAGATTGAGCCACTCGATACACGATGAAATGGTAATGAACAAATCTATAATCATCTCCATGAGCCGAGCCCACTTCGTACCACGGGGCGCTATCACGTTTAAGTGTTTTAAAATACAAATACAAATCCCCTAAAAATGGCGATGTTATCTGCCAAATCATTCTGTAATCTGCCTCTAAATTGGTTCTGAATCTGTGTTGCAAGTGAGAAACATTGGTCCCTGTGGCCAATGCAAAGCACCAATCCTATTTGTAATGGCTGTTGGGATCACATCGAGTGGCAGACATTCCAAGAAAGGATGAAATGTCTGGAGCCCGCTTTATTTCACACCGCTGTGATACGCTCTTCAAACCTAGTTACGGGGGAAGTGGCGGCGTATTGCATTTCTGATGGGAAATGAACAAAAATGGGGTGTTCGGATCTTGTCACAGGAATGTTAATGTTGGAATGGGAGACTGGGATCAAGTGCTGACATTCACTCATGAGGCAGATTGTAGATGATAGTGTGCGCAGGCGTGGATGTTCCTAATCTAATGGCTTATTTATCACAAACACTCAAATCTAATATTGAATAGCTCAAGATAATACAGATTTTAACACCCACGCTGACATCCGTGCTTAATCAAATAGCCCATTTCCCAAATAATTAATTACGTGGGTGACAGAGAGATCATTTGAATATTAGGCCTGCCACTGAGGGAGTTAGTGCAGCGTGGTGACAGAGAGGAAGAAAAGAGACGGCAGCTTACTTAAACTGTCCTCGTCCTCTGTGCTGCTGGTCCCAGGGCTTATGTACTTGAAGGGAGCGATCAATGATGACAGCATACTGACTTTTTCTGGAGGAGAGACAAGAGAGAGACACAGAGTCAACAAGAGGGCAGCGGCGGAGATGTTTTGATAGTTTTATCGATTATAGCGCAGATCAGAGTTGACCCAACACGGGGACAGAGGCGGAACGTGAGTGAGCACACACACACACACACACACACACACACACACACACACACACACACACACACACACACACACACACACACACACACACACACACACACACACACACACACACACACACACACACACAACACACACACACACACACACACACACACACACACACACACACACACACACACACACACCACACACACACACACACACACACACACACACACACACACACACACACACACACACACACACACACACACACACACACACACACACACACACACACACACACACACACACACACACACTTTCCCCACACACACACACACACTTTCCCTTTGTGCATAGACCACTACAATGCTAACATGAGGAAGCTAACAACGTATACACTCACAAAACATACATGGAAGGAAAACAACATATTTTTGGTAAGTAACATGGTAAAGCAGCGTTCAGTTATTATGCTCCAAATATCTGGAACAAACTCCCAGAAACCTGCAGGTCCGCTGCAACTCTGACTACTTTTAAATCCAGGCTGAAGACTTTTCTTTTTGTCGCTGCTTTTAATTGAACTATTCATATCTTAGACTGCACTGTAACTTTTATCCATGTACTTTTTCTTTTAATGTTTATTTTATTAGCTTTTCTTTTTAATGACTGATTTTAAATGCCATTTTCTTAATCTCTTTCATTTTTTGTAAAGCACTTTGAATTGCCTTGTGTTGAAAAGTGCTATATAAATAAACTTGCCTTGCCTTGCGTAACATACACTTTTAGCCTCATCCGAGAACATTCGCATTCTTATCATTTTATTTTTTCTAAGAGGTTTCACAAGTGCATTCACATGTCATATTCACCAAAATCTCTCTATTGAACACAACAATCAGGGTCCCAGAACTAATTTATTTTCAGTTTGTCAAGAGGTGTAAATTGGAGATGAATCAGACTTAAAACTTCTGAAGTCTGAGCCCCGCTGAAGGCTGTCTGTTCCACTACATTTGTATTCAAAAAGGTTTTACCAAAAAGTAAAAAGAGGAATATTCCACTGCGTAGCTTCAATTCCTGCTGTTGCAAAAACATTAATCAAATTCAGCAGAGTCTGTAGCGGTAATGGGTGATATTGAAAGAACAGCTGTCAATGACAGTGCTTTACAGTGAAGAAAAGAAATAGCAATGATTTAACATAAAGTTAGATGCTAATTAGTGTCATACTAGTGATAAGTCATTAGTCACAGAGATATTATAGCCTGGAGCAGTGGTTAAGCGGGTAGACAGTGCATGATTCATTTGATAGTTAAGGACCACTCTTTAATTCCAGACATACCACTGAGAACATTTAGACTATGAATGTGGCTTGTCCTTCACGTTACATTTTAGTTTGAACAGAATGTATTCAGGCATTTTAAATCTCACACACAGCACACACACACACACACACACACACACACACACACACACACACACACACACACACACCACACCACACACCACAACACAACACACACAGCGACACACACAACACCACACACACACACACAACACAGAACACACAACACACACAAACACACACAGCAACACACAGACACACACATCACACGACACACACCACACACACACACACACACACACAACACCACAATCCAAACACACTTCATGATTTGGTTATAAACTATCCCCCGTTATCAGTGCTACTTGTCAACAGTGGCTTTCTCCGCTCTCCCTGGGGCCTTGCTGCTTGTCCAGAGTTGTGGCGTGTTGTTTAGCAGTATGAAGCACTATTAGGGCCATCGCTTGGTCTGGTTGCACTCCATGCAGCGCTGAGCAGAATTGACAGACCAGTCTGGCTCCTTAATTACACCCCCTCTCTCTTCCTAACACCAGCTGATGATCAATAAAAGGGAGCGGGGTAAGGGAGAGGCAACGTGAGGGAGACAGTGGAGGTGGACAGATGTAACAGGAAGGAAAAAAGCAAGGGGAAGAAAATTAGGAGTTTATGTAGGTGGTTGGAAGGTTTAAGGGTGCGCCAGAGGTCAGGACCCCCTCCAAGCTCCCTGGCTATTCCACCACAATCACCAAGCAGAAGTCAGGCCTGAAGCAGCAGCAATTTCAGCGATTTAAAATGCTGCATTAACGGAGGTCACATTACAGTGCAATAAAAATGTTTTGATAAGAGTGCAAGGTTGTGAATGAGCTCCTGGTGCTTTCCTCACAGCACTACAGGCACTCAATGAGTCACTCCGACACACATGGATACACTCTAAACACTGATGCTGGAGCTGTGCGGGGCCTCGTGGGCCAACATCACAATACAAGCATTTCCATTCTGACCTAATTACGGACTAAAGCCCAACACAAGCAGCAATTTGGGCCTAAATGACTCCCTCGGCCAGCAGGGTCATTATCCAGACCATTTTCAAATCAGTCTATATTGTTTTTGAAGCCCCTGAAGCCCTATTTAGAGTACAAAAACATGGCTGGGGGTGTGTTTACAAAGTGGCAAAATTAGAGGTGTTGGTACAGTAGGGCTACTGCTTAGTACAGCATGGCTTAACTCATTCGTGCATTTGTAACTAAAATGTAATGCTGTGTGAAAGACACATGTTCACATCAAGCATGAAATTGCAGGCAATCAACACACAGGAGTCTAAACTTCCACACTGCAGACTGATATGACGTATGATGTATCGAGATGATCCTGTTTTACCTAAACCACCCACTCACCAGCTTCTGCCTAGCCAAAGCCCACTGGGTATTGAGATACTAAAGCTTCATGTGGCCAGATGTACACAGTATAATATATCAAGAGTATAAGCCCATTTTTTTTCAATATTGTAAAACCTGCACAACATGTTGCACATTTCTGCCCCTTTGAATATAGTATTGCCATATTGTATTACATTTTAGTGCAGGCAGTTTCTTAAATAACTATATTTCGTGTAAATATTGCCTTTATTTTTCATTTGTTTGAATAGTCTTAGCTTATATAATTGTACTATTTTTATAGTAAGCTTTCTTTCTGTGTCTCTTTATGCACGACTTATACCAAAGCAAATTCCTCGTATGCGTAAAACTACTTGGTAATAAAACTGATTTGGATTTCTCCACTCCAACCACACTTTCAATTGACAATTGAAATATCATCATGGTTTCAATAACTCCGATGCAGTGGTAAGCAGTGTGGTCGAGAGGTCATCCTCCAAATGCCACCTCTGAGCGTTTTCTGAGAGGTTTATGAAGTGCCGGCACAAACACGCTGCACTCTGATTTATAAGTGAGCTGTGTATAACGTCAAAGGCAGTTTGTGTTAGGAGTTCACAGTATGTAGTCTGATTGATTTTCACAGGGAGATACAGCATACGTTCAGCCTTTTAAATAAACAAATTCACCGCAAGAGCTCACAGTCTGATGCTGTAGGATAATAATAGAACTGGTTTGTTGTGAAACTCCAAGAAAAGATTTTATAGTGTAAACATTAAAGTTGTATTAACAGTATTCAGCAAATGAGCAATCCTAAATAACACTAATGAGTTTAATAAGGACATTTCCAGGAAATAATTATGTAAATTGATTCTAATTACAGGTTAAATTCAGAGGATCTAAGAAGACTGGCTCTATTCAAACCCTAGCAGATATTCATTAATTCCATTGTTTTAATTGTTTGTTTGGCATTAGAGAACTTACATTTTGCCATGTATAGCTGAACTACGAGTCTCTGTAGGTGACTAATCATTACATTGGAAATAACTCAATGTACCAGCTTGTTTTTCCTATAATCATTTCTAAACTAGGTAACATTTTTCTATGTAATTATTAGGAAAAAGCAAACTATTTAAAAGCTAATCTTTGAAACCATATGGAGAAAAGTATTACAATGTGTTAGTAGAACAATTCTCTCACTTTAAACTGCATATTTGAACTTTTAGGAGGTAGGATGGCATGGTATTAATAATCTAGATTGGAAATATTAATACATTGGGATTGTTAGCATTTATGGAAAAACCACGGGCGCCATTATAATAAAAATTGGTGGAAGGTTTCCATATTGGCCAGAGAAGAACCCCTAACATGTTGGAGTGTATGCAAATCACGGGGGTGGACTGGATACACATACTATTTTCATAATGGGAATGGATTTAGTGATTATCTGTGCTCTCCAGTGCCCTGTACAGGGTTTGTTTTGTGAATTTGTTGTGTTAAGATCATAGAACATTAGCCCACTCCGGTGACCTTGGTGACATGGACAAATTAGGTTACAATTACAATAACAATCTTCTCCGTTATTGCCTCACTTCAGAGCTGTCAGGAAAATGAACCACCAATCACTGCCGCTGATGTGGACATTGTTACCTCACATGCCCTTCACGGTACCTGTCACCATCCCTTCTTATTCAGCGGCCAGCCGAATGGATGAGACAATGCATGCCAATAGTTTCCGCTTGCTACGTCCTTCCCACACTGCACCAGGGCACAGTGAGGAGACCACGCTCATTTGTTTCCAGCGCACAAAGGCACAGCGGCAGCGGAGAGCCATGCTAGATAGGGAGAGGCTTGGCAGATGGCCATACACTCCTGATAGTGACAACGCTGGTGATGGTGTCAATTCACAATGAGCTGGAGAAGAGGCTCTTTCTTTCTCTCCCTGCACTTCCTGTATCAGTTCTGACTTCTGAGGAGAGGGTAATGAGCCCAATCAGATTTCCCCATGGCTCAGCAAAACCAATGGGTCAGATGAGCGACGGGAGACACTATTGAGACAGGTGCTGGGGGAAATCATCGACTCTCTCTCCATTCACCACCTGCCCCTCTCTGTCTCTTCTCTCTCTATCTTTCTATACGTCTTCCTGAAAGCCTCAGATTGAAAGCCACTGAGCCACTAAATGAGAGG